GCTGGCCCAGACTGGGCTTGAATCCATCAGCCTTGGTGTATGTGACTGGCACCATCACCACTGCTGTGCTATAGGTGCTGAGCCACCAAAGAATTATTTTTGATAACAAACTTAAATCTGAAACTCATCATAATTTATTTGCTTTTATAAGTGTTCATGTTTTTAACTTTAAAGTATGAAAATAGTGTTCATCTAGGAAAGACTTCAATTCTCCTTCATTTATGAAACTTAGTTTAGCAGGATATGAAATTCTTGCTGGCAGTTCTGTTTAAGAAAACTAAAGCTAGAACTCTTACAACCTTCTAGCTAGTAAGGTTTCTGTTGAGAAATCTGCTGTTAGTCTGATGAGTTTTCCTTTGTAAGTTACTTGCTGTTTTCACCTCACAGCTCCCAGGAGTTCCTCCTCCCTGTTGGCTTTGGCTGGTCTGGTGATGATATGTTGTGGTGATTCTGTTTTTGCAATGAATCTGCCTCCCAGGTGTTCCTTGAGCTTCTTGTATCTGGATGTCTAATTCTCTACCAAGGGAAATTTTCTTCAATTATTCCCTTAAATAGGCTTTTCAGGCTTTGTGCTTTCTCTTTGTCACCCTCAGGGATGCCTATTATTCTTACATCTAGTTATTTCACATAACCCCCTATTTCTCAGTCTTTGTTCATTCCTTCTGATTCTTTGTTTTTTATTTTTGATTGGGTTAATTCAAAAAAGTTGTCTTCAAGCCCTGAAATTCCTTCTCCTGCTTAGCTAGTCTATTCTTAAAACTTTGCAGTTTGTTTTGTATTGAACTTTTCATTTCCAGAAATTCTATTTGATATTTTAAATATATCTATCTCTTTAGTAAATTTTTCATTCATTTCATTCAAATACTCATTTCTTGTATTGTTTTTCTGGTTTCTTGGAGTTGCTTTTCCATTTTCTCTTTGATATCATTGAGCTTGCTTACAATTCATATTTAGATTTCTTTATCTGTCATTTCAGTATTTGGGGGGGGGTTGGAATCCATTGCTAGAGAACTGGTGTGCTTCTTTATGGGTGTCCTTTCACTCCGATTTTTCATACTTTTGGAGTTCTCAAGGTGATTCCTTCTCATCTGGAGCAGCTGTTGATTCTTTTTGAATTTTCTTTTGGGTAGAGCAGCGTTTCCTCAGTGTTTTATAGGATTTAAAAAATCATGGGTTTAAGCCAATTTTAAATTTAAAAGCTGTAGCATTTCTCATTTTAACTTTGTTTCTTCTAGTTGCTTAGGTGAATATATTTCTCTGATTCTTACTTTCTTTTTTATTTCAAAACACTAATTAAGGGGGTTTAAGTGTTTAAGGGGGAAGCCCACATATACCCTCTTAAGGGTGTATCTGTAGCATATATTGGATCAGGACCTTTGGCTTGGAGTACTACTGAGCCACAGAAAGGAATGAAAGAATGTCATTTGTAGAAACATAGATGAACTAAGTGAAGTATTTCAGGAATAGAAAACCAAATGCTAAATGTTCTCACTAGTAAGTGGGAGCTAATAGATGAGTTCAGGGCACAGAGCAATATAAAGGACATGAGAGACCAAGAAGGAGGGAGGGTGAGTGTGGAATAAAAATTACCTTTTGGGTACAATGAACACTATTCTGGTGATGAGGTTACCAAAATTCCCAACTTAAGCATATCCAAGATATCTATGTAACAAAAAGACTTAAACCCCCTTAATTAGTATTTTGAAATAAAAAAGAAAATAAGAATCAGAGAAACATATTCACCTAAGCAACTAGAAGAAACAAAGTTAAAATAAGAAATGCTACAGTTTTTAAATACAATTTAAAATTGGCTTAAACCCGTGATTTTTAAATCCTATAAAACACTGAGGAAACACTGCTCTTTGAGAAACATTTTTGGGCACTAAAAAACATCTTCAACGGAAGTAATTGGCATTGCTCAATAAATAAATGTAAAAAGTTATTAAGTAAATGTTATTCAGACAACCTGATAAAGACAGTTGTGCAATATTATAGAAAAGAGGACACACTCATGGTCTCTGGAGGTAGCTAGAAATAGATTCAAATTCTGGTTGCTCTGTGCCTTAGATTTTCTGAGCCGCAGTTACTTATTCTTTGAAAGTGAGGTGATTTCAACCTAACCCCTAGATCTGCTGTGAGAACTGAATTCAATTTTGTGTTAAAGAACCCAAGAGATGGAAATCACTCAATAAGCAATAATCTTTTCTAGCCTACCCACCACCTTTTAGCATGAATACAACATGAAACCATTCTCGTTAATAATAACAGTAAATTTGATACTTCTTTATGTTAACAATTAAGAAATTCTATATCAAAATTTTTTATAAACCTTTTGCATTACTTTTCTTCAAATACAGATTTTCCATTAGCTGGTTTTAAATACATACATATTTACTCATAATAGTCTATCAAGAAAACCAAAAAGTCTTCTTTTTTTTTATTAAATCATAGCTGTGTACGTTAATGCAATTGTGGGGTACAATGTGCTGGTTTTATATACAATTTGAAATATTTTCATCAAACTAGTTAACATAGCCTTCACGGCATTTTCTTAGTTATTGTGTCAAGACATTAATATTCTACACTTAGTAAATTTCACATGTACTCTTGTAAGATGCACTGCCAAAAAGTCTTCTTTAACATACATTGACATATTTGATGGTCTCAGAAAATAAACTTTTCCTATCGATGAAGGTCAGAGGTTGTATAGATTGAACTCCTCCTAGTATACAAAAGCAGTCCGAGGATTATCATCCTGGAAAAGTACTCTGGCAGGAGGCTGCAGGTGAAAGTGAAGTTAATGTAAAATTAAACATCTTGGATTTGGCATAGATAGTAACCAAACTTTGTGAGCAGAGAAGGAGGAATAAAGGTAAATGGGGTGGGTGAAGGGTGTTAGGACTTAAATCCTAAGTGCTCATCAAACTTTATATCCTTTCCCAAGGTAATTTTCTGCTATGGGAGTACACAAACACACCCTGGGTACATAATAAAACAAAAGGTCATAATAGTTAGGGTTCAAAGTAATTTTGTGCCTAAAAATGAAATGAATTGAATTGTCATTCATGTGACTGTTAAAACATTCATGTAATGAAAAGGGCTTGTCTCTCTTCAAATATGTTGATCAATATAGTCATTCAACTTACTTAACATTTACTTTTACTAAAGTATCCAATATTGGCAGGAAAATTATCTGGCAAAGGAGAGCCTTCTACTACCAACTCAGGGGCTTCTGACCAATCTCAGACCGTGTCTGGAATGAAATGAGTCCAAAGATTAAGCCTAACTGTTGGCCTACTTGAGCCAGACCAGGCCACATCAACTAATCCAATCCTCCAGAAACCAGAATCAAGTAGAGCTCAGTGTGCATTTCTTGACAGCTGAAGGTTAAAAAAGAGCATAAGCTTTGGAGTTAAACAGATCTGGGTTTAAACCCTAGGCTTATGCCATGTAAGCAGCCACTTACAAGCTTTATAACCCTCAAGAGATGTCTTTGTTTCTGTAAGTCTCAGTATTTTTAAATACCCAATTTGGGTTTTAATACCCAATTTGATTATTGTGAAAATTAAGTTACTTAATGCATGTAAAGATTTTAACACAGCACTTGATACATATTGAGCCTTCAATCAATGGTCCCTTCACAAAAGAGTTCTTTGTTAAGCAATAGCTCTTTACACCTGCAGAAGCCATGGAATGGAAGCTTGGGCCTCTCCCCACTGTGCGGGTGCTAGGGATCCAAGGACCACTCTGCACATGGGGCAGTGCGCTATCCTTAGCCACAAAGCAACAAATGCATCTCTAGTCAGCCTTGTTAAAAATTGCTCTTCCTCCCCTTCTTCCTCTAGGAGTTTCAGGCAGCTCAGGCAGTTCTACAATATGAAAGGAGGTATGACTATCATGGCATGAAGAAAGCATTATTATAGAAGCTTATTATTTTTCTGGTTGTATTTCATTTGAGCACATTTAGAGCTTGAACATACGGACCTAGCCAGAGTCTGACACATTCAAAGTTTTCTTTGCCTCCCTGAAAAGTCCTGCGGACCTTCTTATCACTCAACAGTTGTCAATTCTCATCACGGTCCAGGCTTAAATTGGACTTAGAGAATCGTGGGCATAAAAGGAAAATGAAGGGATTATCCACTTCATAGCTGGCCCAGTGTAGCATTTGGCAGAAGTATAGTGAAGAAAGCAGTGGATTTGGAGGCTGATGCCTTGGCGTCTTGCCCCTGGTGACAAAGTCCTTTAACATCTCTCAACTACAAAATACTTGTTCTTACTTTATAGAATATGTGTGTATTATGTGTGATAGTGAAATAAAATGATATTAAAGTCATTTATAAGTTGTATAGAACTATTTAAAAAGAGGCTTTTATTTTGATGTGTAAAATAAATATTTGGCTATATTTAATTTTCATATTAAAACCTTTTCCATTTATGAATTTTCATATTGCTTTAAGAAATGTGTGCCTACAAAATGTATCAGTATGGATAACATATATTAGAAATAATTCATGATTTCATTATCTGACTTTAAGTTAGCATTGTGATACTAGTTCAGATCAGCCTGTTAATACACAAATTATTCTTCTTATTAAATTATTGCTGCTAGCATTACTTAAGGATCTACAACAGTAGAACTGGACATCTTAAGTGCACAAAGTATTTTTTATTAGGGAGTCTAAAGAATTACATATGAAAATATTCATCTATATCTTCTACTAACATGGGTGAAACAGGACTTAGTTTTATAAAAATCTAAGGTTTTGACAATTCTTTTATAATATAGGAAAATTAAACAGTTGAAACTTACATAATCCTTGTAGAATTTTTTTACAACACCTTTTTTAGATACAGGTTACTTCCTGATGAGTAGAAATGATGAAATAGTGACCTATTAAGGGCAGAGCAGTTTCTATAAAAACACCCCAGTGATGGTTTGAGGTATCTGCTGTGTGTGCACAGCTTCAGTTAGTTATTCAAGGCGTTATTTTTGTTTTCAGAAAAAGAAAACTAAGTAGAAGATCATGGCAAGTTTAAACTGGGGATATGATGGCAAAAATGGTAAGAGTTCTTCTGTTCTCGTAGATCAAAATAATTGCTTATTCTTTTCTCCAGTAGAAGAGGCATTAAACATTTAAAATAACCACCATAGGTTAATTGTTTGAATTGCTGACTTTGAAAAAGTATAATATATTTGCTTGCATTCTTAGCAGTTGCCTTGGGCCTTCATTGTCTACAAAATGTGTTTGATTTATAGAGAGGGTGCCAAAAAATTGTGTATATATTTTAAGAGATGTTATCTGTGTACATAGTATTACTTTTCAAAATTGAATCGATAGCACCATTACTGGTCAGGGGTAACCATGCATGTTCTATACATCCGTTTTATCTGCAGTTCATCTGCTTTTGGGGAATGATGGATTTTACTTCCAACAAAATCTCTTAAAAAGTGTGTGTGTATGTATAGAGAGGCAGCCCTCAGTATATACAGGCATACCTCGGAGACATTGCGGGTTAAGTTCCAGATCACTGTAATAAAGTGAATATCACTTAAAGTGAGTCACATAATTTGGGGGGTTTCCCAAATTGTTTATTCTATACTGTTGTCTATTAAGTATGCAATATCATTATGTTCAAAAATGTGCATAGCTTAATTTAAAAATACTTTGTAGCTAAAAGATACTAACAAGCATCTGAGCCTACAGTGAGTCATATCTTTTATTGGAAGAGAATCTTGCTTCAATATTGATGACTACTGACTAATTACAGTGGGTTCTGCTGAAAGGTGAGGTGACTGCGGCAATTTCTTAAATAAGACAACAAGAAAGTTTACCATGTCAGTTGACTCTTCTCTACATGAAAGACTTCTCTGTAAGGGTGGCGCTGTGGCTTAAAGGAGTAGGATGCCAGCCCCATATGTTGGAGGTGGCAGGTTCAAACCCAGCCCCGGCCAAAAACTGCAAAAAAAAAAAAAAAAAGACTTCTCTGTAGCCTGTAGTACTTGATAGCACCTTACTGGAGTCAATATTATCAAACTCTGTTGCTATTTTATTAACTAAGCTTATGTAATATTTTAAATCCTTCGTGGTTATGTCAACAATATAACAGAATCTTCACTAGTCGATTCCTTTGCTCATCCATGACAAGCAACTCCTCATCCCTTAAAATTTTATCGTGAGATTGTAGCAGTTCAGTCAGATCTTCAGGCTCCACTTCTAATTCTAGTTCTCCTGCTATTTCCACCATGTCTTCAGCTACTTCCTCCCCTGAAATCTTAGGTCCATGAGGGCTGGAACTAGCTTCTTCCAAACTCCCATTAATGTTGATCATTTGACCTCCTTTCATGAATCACCAGTGATCTTAATGGCATCTAGAATGCTGAATCTTTTCCAGAAGTTTTTCAACTTTCTTTGTCCAGATCTATGAGCCCTCTCATATTCAATATCTATAGCAGCTATAAAATCTATTTCCATGTGATAAGACTTGAAAGGAGAAATTACTCCTCGATCAATGGCTGCAGAATAGGTGCTGCGTTAGCAGGCATAAAAACCACAGTCATATCCCTATACATCTCCATCAGAATTCTTGCACGACCAGGTGCATTGTCAATTTGTAGCAATATTTTAAAAGAAATTTTTTTTTGGGAAGAGTAAATCTCAACAGTGGGATTAAAATATTCAGGAAACCCTGCTTTTTATTCAGGAAACAGATGTGATATCATGTAGGCTTTGCTGTTCCATTTATAGAGGATCTGCATAGGAGATTTAGCATTATTTGTACGGGGTTCTAAGATTTCAAAAATAGTAAAAATGAGCATCAGCTTCAATTTAAAGTCATCAGCTGCATTAGCCCCTAACAAGAGCATCAACCTCACCTCAAAAGCTTTGAAGCCAGGCATTGACTTCTCCCCCACTAGCTATGAAAGTCCTAACCAGCATCTTCTTCTAAGAGAAGGCTATTTCATCTACACTGAAAATCTGTTGTTCAGTGTCTCTGCCTTAATCAGTTATCTAGGCTGTGTCTTCCAGTAACGTATTGCAGCTTCTGTGTCAGCACTTGCTGCTTCACCTCACACTGTTACGTCAAGGAGATGGCTTCTTTCCTTAAACCTCATGAACCAACCTGTGGTATCTTCTAACTTTTCTTCTGCAGCTTCTTTACCTGTTTCAGCCTTCCTATAATTAAAGAGAGTTAGGATCTTACTCTAGATTAAGCTTTGGCTTAAGAGAATATTATGGCTAATTTGATCTTCTACACAGACGACTAAAACTTTCCCCGTATCAGCAATAAGTCTGTGTTGCTTTCTTATAATTCTTATGTTCTCTGGCATGTTCACTCTTAAGTTCCGTGGAGAACTTTCTTTTGCCTTCATAACATGGCTAACTGCCACAAGAGGCCTACTTTGGGGGCTATCACAGCTTGTGACATGCCTTTCTCTTTAAACTTAATCATTTCTAGCTTTTGATATAAAGTGAGAGAAGTGTGACTCTTCCTTCACTGGAATACTTACAGGTAATTATTGGGTTATTAATTGTCCTAATTTCAAAATTGTCGTGTCTCCGGGAATGGGGAGGCCCAATGAGAGAGAGAAAAAATAGCCGTCCAGGGAAGCAGTCAGAACTCACAGAACACGGATTAGGTTGGCCACCTTGTATGGCACAGTTGGTGGTGCCCCAAAAGGATTATCATAGCAACATGAAAGATCGCCACACAGATACAATGTCAAATACAGTGTGAAATATTGTGAGAATTGCCAAAATGTGACACAGAGACTCAAAGTGAACATGTGTGGTTGGAAAAATATTTCCAATAGACTTACTCAACACAGGATTGCCACAAACCTTCAATGTGTAAAAAACACATACCTAGGAAATTAAAAAGTTAAGCAAAAGGGAAGGAGGTATACTTGTATTAGAAATATATTGTGAATAGTAAAATATGGATAATCTGATCCTATAGACAAAGAGTATGGCCTATGTTACTAGTGTTGGCCGAAATGCTGTTGTATAGCATGTTATAGGAAAAGGACATTCTCAAACACAGAATTTCCCTTAATCTGAATAGGACATCATTTAAGGTACCCAAATAAAACCTAATCTAATTAAAAAACAAGTAGATATACTCCTAAAACTTGGAATCAACATTTGATAAAATTTTGATTTTATGCATATATTTGTCTTGTCAGGCCCTGAACAATGGAGAAATCTGTATCCCATTGCGGATGGAAATAACCAGTCTCCTATTGACATTAAAACCAGTGAAACCAAACATGACCCCTCTCTGAAGCCTATCAGCGTCTCCTACAACCCAGCTGCATCCAAGGAGATTATCAATGTGGGACATTCCTTCCACGTAAATTTTGAGGACAATGACAACCAGTCAGGTGAGCCAAAGAACCTTCTGATATTTTTTTCTTAGCAGCTACTGGGAAAATTAAAACAATGAGGCTTAAGAAACACGATACCAATCCTCAGTCTTCTACGCATGTGTGTAACGTTGCCGTAATATAATGAGGCATCTTAGATTTCTAGAAAATGTCCAAGTGTTAAATATGATTTGGAAAACTCCCAGCCCTGTCTTTTTTCAGTCTTTCTAAATGACACCATCCCATAAACTCTTCTGGCCATGTCAATATTTTTATGTTCACATCACTGTCTGTAGATAAACAGTATTTTTACAAAAAAATTCCAGTGAACCAGTCATTAGGAATATAAAACTGAAACGGCAGGCCTGGCCCAGTGACTCATGCCTATCATCCTAGCACTTTAGGAGGCCAAGACAGAAGGACCTCTTGAGGTCAAGAGCTTGAGGCCAGTGTGAGCAAGAGCAAGATCCTGCCACCATAATGGTGTGCATGAATGTCCTGGCTGGTGCTCTTAAGAGCATCAACAGGCTCGGCACCTATAGCTTAGAAGCTTTGGCACCAGCCACATATATTGGACATGGCGGGTTCAAATCCAGCCCTGGTGGGCCTGCCAGACAACAATGCCAACTACAACCAAAAATAGCCAAGTGTTGTGGCAGGCACCCATAGGCCCAGCTACTTGGGAGGCTGAGGCAAGAGAATCGCTTAAGCCCAAAAGTTTGAGGCTGCTGTGAGTGAGCTGTGATGCCACGGCACTCTATCTGGGGTGACAGGTTGAGACTCTGTCTCAAAAAGAAAAAAAAAATCATCATCATCAACAAAAGTTCTTGTAAGGCCATGCTCCAAAATCATCTGATTTCTAACTGTGATGAAGAAGCATGGTTACATTGGCGAATTTGAAATCATCAATGATAGTAGAGCTGGGAAAATTGTTGTGAACCTCACAGGCAGGTTAAACAAGAGTGGAATGATCAGCTTCAGGTTTGACGTGCAACTCAAAGATCTAGAAAACTGACAGAATAACCTGCTCCCATCTCGCCAGTTTGGTTTCATTGTACTGACAACTTTAGCTGGCATCATGGACCACAAAGAAGCAAGAAGAAAACACACAGGAGGGAAAATCCTGGGATTCTTTTTCTAGGGATGTAATACACACTGAAAATAAAATGCCTCAATGGAAAAAAAAAAAGAAAGAAAGAAAGAAAGAGCAAGACTATGTCTCTACTTAACAAATTTAAAAATTATCTATGCCTGGCAACATGCACCTATAGTCCCAGCTACTCTGGAGGCTGAGGCAGGTGGATCACTTGAGCCCAGGAGTTAAAGGCTGCACTGAGCTCTGATGACACTATGGTGATAAGGGTGGATGAGCAGAGCAGACAAGAGAAATAGAGGAGTGACTAAATTATTGTCATATCCCAGAATATGGCACATTTCTTGCTGAATAGTTACCTTTTCATAAAGGTTTATTGGATAATTTGTTAAATGACCTTTCCATAAAACAGTTCTACTCACTTACAAAGCCAAACTTGTTTTAGCACTTCCCTATAAGAGTTGGGGCCTAATTTTAGGCACTTTGGAGTTATGTCCACTATTAAAATCAGATTAGATCTGGTATTCTATGTGTTTAATTACTCATATGATTAGGTCACCTCTCTAAACAACAGAATCATTCAATATTAAAATTTTAAAAGTCGGCTCAGCGCCTGTGGCTCAAGTGGCTAAGGCACCAGCTAAGGCACATACACCTAAGGTGGCAGGTTCAAATCCAGCCCAGGCCCTCCAAACAACAATGATGGCTGCAAACAAAAATAGCCGGGTGTTGTGGCAGGCACCTGTGGTCCCAGCTCCTTGGGAGGCTGAAGCAAGACACTCACTTGAGCCCAGGAGTTGGAGGTTGCTGTGAGCTGTGATGCCACAGCACTCTACCCAGGGGGATAGCTGGAGGCTCTGTCTCAAAAAAAAAAATTTTTTTTTAAAGTCATCCCACTGCCCCACTGCACTTTCTCTTAGTCCCTGGCCAGGGACTCTTAACAAAGCTGTCGAGAAAGAATGTTATGTCTGCATCAATTGCAGAGTAAGTGATGAGTAATTTGTGAGTCAAAATAAACTACTGAAGCTTTTATGCTTACTGCTTATATAGTCTTTGTTGAAAGAATGAATCAAAATAAACTACTGAAGATTTTGATGCATACTGCTTACACGGTCTTTGCTGAAAGAATGAACGAATAAACATGCAAATTAAAGGAGAGTCAAAGAAAGTCCTACAATCATATAATGCATTTACCTTGGAATGTGCTTTCTAGGAGCTAGAAATAGGTAAAATTATAGTTCGTTTGCTTGGAATTGTATCTCATCTACACCACAGTCGATGGTACTCTGTAGGTACAAATGCCAACATCACAGCTGTGATAAAAAAAACCATGATGAAAGTTTTAGCATTCGAGTTTGTGTTCATTTCTACTCAATACAATCTACTGTAGGTTTACATTATATGCAAAGATAAGCAGGAACTTATGATCATAAGGCTAACAGTAGGTTTCCTTTTTTGCAGTGCTAAAAGGTGGTCCTCTCTCTGAAAGCTATCGGCTCCATCAGTTCCATTTTCACTGGGGCAGTACAAATGACTATGGTTCTGAGCACACTGTGGATGGAGTCAAATATTCTGGAGAGGTAATGTAATTTAATGCATGAAAGATAGTTACAGGGAAGTGTAGTAGCTCCCTTACATCATGATACCATCATATAACTTCAAAGAAGTGAGCATTCTGATTCCCCCAGGCTCCATTAAAACCAGACACAGTCTCACTATGATCAGTAATAGAAGGAAAATTTTCACGTGGAAAGAGGTAGCTAAACTTTGAGCAGAACTCCTGAGTTCAAGTTTCACCCTTCCCTGAGAAAGCCTCAAAAATTGTTACCCTGACATCATGACGAGGTATATGACATCATGATGAGGTGTATATTAACTGGTGTGATATAAGCGTTCTTAATTCTATATTAAATCAGCACATTGTACCCTATAAATGCATTAATGTATACATGATCTATGTGCTTATGATTTAACAAAAAATAAGTTAAAGATATGAAAAGGAGCAACACTGAATACTCAATGATACTGTAGGAAATGAAATTTTACTTACTACTTCAGGATTTGCAAATCTACTTACTCTACTCAGTACATAGATAATACTTTTGAAGAGGGAGAACATAACCCTTCCCATTCAGTGGGCAAAGTTTCATGTAAGTTTTATCTCTCTATGCTAAGATACATGTTCACATAGTGGCGAGTTAATTTACAGCTTAGCTTTGTGTTCGAACTATTATAAGTAATGAATTTGCCATATTCTCATCTTCAGCTTCACATAGTTCACTGGAATTCTGCAAAGTACCCCAGCTTTGCTGAAGCTGCCTCCAAGGCTGATGGTTTGGCAATTATTGCTGCTTTGATGAAGGTGAGTTACAGATAGTTACACAACTCTGCTCATACTGTATCTTACCAATCGGACCACAAAGTGCGATGAGATAAAGTAGCAGAAACACGAGCCTTTCTGAAAAGTTCCCAGCCTCCTGATGACTACAGGTCAATAGTACCCTAGTACTCTGTTGCTTGGTTTTCTCTCTCTTTTTCCCTCTACAGGGAGTTTCAGTTGAGGGTGGACTAGGACAGGGTTCATGGGTGGAAAGGGAGTTTTTATTGTCCAACTCTTCCAAATTTCCTGTTCTCTAAACTTTCTATGGCATATATTCAAAATTTATCAATTTAATATCTCATCAGGAAGGAAATGTTAAAAGGATTTTTTCCCATAAAGAACATTCAGTTGATTTTTCAAATAGCAGATATTGTTCAAATCATCTATAGAAGAATCCCTGAAAAGTTGTATAAGAAAGTTATTATTATATTGAATACGCTTGAGTAACTAATTTTCCAAATTATGGTTCCAGTGAACCATTACCAAATGCTCATAATACAGCAAAAATTATACCAATTATAACTAATAGAATGGACCAAAAGTAAGAGCTTTTTTATTGTATCACAGTTTTGCTAAATTTCTAGATGTCATATTTTATAATTTTGTACATCTTTCTCAAATTTAAGTCAAGCTTTTCGTTTGTTACTTTATCTGTAGTTACATGGACAATTTATACTGTACAAAGCCCCATAAAGATATACACCATGCAAAATGTTCTCTTCTAAGGCAGAGAGAAAATACCTGAGCTCTCATCAGTTGTTGAAAAAAATCAAAGATTTACCGAAACAGTGTTTGATAGCAACCTTTATTGCACACTTTTTTTTTTTTTTTTTTTTTTTGTGATCTCCAGGTTGGTCAGGCCAACCCAAAGCTGCAGAAAGTACTTGATGCTCTAAGTGCAGTTAAAACTAAGGTAAGTAGACTAAGTACATTAGTTTAAATCAAAGAACAAAAATTCACTGTAGTATGGAAATTGTTTAATGAATATATTTGAAGTAGATAATAGGGAGACTGAAAAAAAAGTTACCGATCAAAGTATAAATTACATATTGCCTGTTTCTGAGAAAGTCTCTGACAGCAAGGATTTGGTTGTTTGTTTGTTTGTTTGTTTGTTTTTCATAGTGACTGTTTATTGATTTCAGTAGACTATGGCCTGTAGAAAAATAGGTTATATAGCCATCTGCTTGAAAAATGACATCCGGGCTCGGCGCCTGTGGCTCAAGTGGCTAAGGCGTCAGCCACATACACCTAGGGTGGCCGGTTCGAATCCAGCCCGGCCCGCCAAACAACAATAAGGGCTGCAACCAAAAAAAATAGCCAGGCATTGTGGTGGGTGCCTGTGGTCCCAGCTACTTGGGAAGCGGAGGCAGGAGACTCGCTTGAGCCCAGGAGTTGGAGGCTGCTGTGAGCTGTGATGCCACAGCACTCTACCCAGAGGGATAGCTTGAGACTCTGTCTCAAAAAAAAAAAAAAAAAAAAAAAAAAGAAAAAGAAAAATGACATCCGAATGAAATGGGGAATATTTCCCATCTCATGAAGGAAGATGTCTATCTTCTTAGTAGTACAAAACGTCAAGAATTAAGCATAGTCTTTTGAAATATCATTAATGTGCAATATTTGATAATTGTGATTCCTATTTGTCAACTCAAAAAACAGGTGGGTTTTCTGATATATCCAACCTTAGCATTACTGTTGTAAAAGAAGATATTTAGCCGTAAGTCAGAGATTTATAATTTCTGTGCATGGTGTGGAGGACTGTCATATTTTTTACATAGAATAAATGTGATTTGTGCTGATTGTTGAAAAGATTAAATTTCAAATATGTGTATTATAACGAGAGAATGACAGGTAAAAATAAGCATTCAGCTCAAAAATATAAAAAATAATATGTGAAGAGAAAAAAGAAGGAAATAGTGAAGATAAAAGCAGACAATAATAAAATAAGAAAGAAAGGTGATGAAAGTCAATGCCCTTTCCTGATGATAAAACAAAATGAAAGAAAATGTTCTGAAAACTTCCAGAATTTGATAAAGAATGAAAACTCAGATCAAACTTTGTAGTGAAACATTTGCAGCATTTCCATTTCAATTAGGACCAAAACCAAAGTGGTACTGTGACCATCACAATTAAAAATTATAACGAAGATCCTAATTAACACAATAAAGTAAAGGAGAAATAAGAGAATTGGCATAGATACCCGAAAATCAAAAATAAAACTATCATCAAGTGCAGATGATAGGATTATTAACACCCACCTGAAGAATTTTAAATAATCAGCTAAAAAACAGAATCAAGGTCAGGTGCTGTAGCTCACACCTGTAATCCTAGCACTCTGGGAGGCTGACTAAGGTGGACTGCCTGAGCTCACAGGTTCAAGACCAGCCTGAGCAAGAGGGAGGCCTTGTCTCTAAAAATAGCCAGACATTGTGGAGGGCACCTGTAGTCCCAGCTACTTGGGAGGCTAAAACAAGACAATAGCTTAAGCCCAAGAGTTTGAGGTTGCTGTGAGCTATGATGCCACAGCACTCTACAAAGGGCAACAATGTGAGACTCTGTCTCAAAAAACAATCATCATCATCATAAATTTTTTTTAAAAAGAAGTTATCATCTTCTTAAAAAATAAAAAATGAAATAAAAACAGAATCAATACAAAAGTCGGATAAAGTTGATTGCATAAAAGATGACCGTACAAATATACAAATACCAGTACATTTTCTATAAGAATAACCATCCATCAGAATAGATAATGGGAATAAATAGTATAAAACCGAAATGCAGCCAATATCCTTGTTAATAAATATCTTTGCCATTAGAACAGAATCTGGCATCACTCCTAAAGAAACAATAAAGGCTTTATATTGAAAATTAAATCTTTTAAGGAACATAGATCATACAAATTTGTTTGAAGCTTTTCTTATCTTCAACCAAATGAAAAAGGAAGACGGTTTCTTGGTCAAAACTTACACGTAGCACATTTTTCATCTTGTCTCTTTTGTTACTTTTATTTTATCCATAAACACACCAGTCATGTGATGACAAATAGTTTTTAAAAACCAATAACATTTTGGCTAAACTCTAGATAATATATAACAAGATAATGTAACATTTATATCACATATATTAACAGAAGACAATATTTTATGTCATAATATAATAATGGATACTTTTTCTTCCAGGGCAAACGAGCCCCATTCACAAATTTTGACCCCTCTGTGCTCCTTCCTTCATCCCTGGATTACTGGACCTACCCTGGCTCTCTGACTCACCCTCCTCTTCACGAGAGCGTAATCTGGATCATCTGTAAGGAGCCCATCAGTGTAGGCTCGGAACAGGTAGAGTATCAAAGGCAAAGGAGGGGAAACTGGAAACGCAAAGCAGGAACATCGCCTCACCTGATAGTATCAGTAAGGGAGATTATTGTGTCAGTTACGTCTGTGAGAAGTTTATTTTCCCTTCCAATAAAAAATGATTCATTTCTGGCATAGTTCTATTGAATGATCCAAAAGGGTACATTACCATACCATTTTTTTTTTTACTTTATGGAGAAAAAAAAATGAGATTTAGAATGCTCATCATTCCTTCTTCTTTAATACATTCAAGTCCAACTTTGCCAAATATCTTATTGAAGTTTTCAGAAACAAAAGAAAAACTGTGACTGGAAGTTCTGCTGAGACTTTGTGGGACCGCAGCTCTCAACCAGCACAATTTGATAGCTGGCAAAATATTTTGTTCTTTTTTTCGAGGTCAGCAGAGGGCTAAGCTTTTAAATATCCAATAAAGTATCTCATTAATTTCTATGTGTAATAATGACGGTAATAATTACCATTAATTAAGCAACGACTTTCACTAGGTGTCTTGTGTTTGTTTTGCCAGTCAACTGTCATAACAAACCTATACAGAACAGTAGCCTATTGCTAGCTGACATTTATTGAACAACGCTATACACACATCATTCCAATACTTCACGTGCATTAACCCATTTCATCTTCACAACACAACGAAGAAGGTGCTATATGGAAGCTGAGACATTAAGATGATAAGTCACTTGCCCACGGGACCTCAGCTAGAGCGAGGAAATTGGTATCCTAACCCAGACAGTCCTCAATGATTTAAGCAAAATGCCTAGATCAAAGGAATGTGAAGGATCTGGGGCCTCCTCCCTTTCCCCTGGTGAAACCTCAGTTTTCTAAATATCAGTGCATCAATAATACTAAAAATAAAGTGCTTCCTATAACTTGAATGACTTTCGATTATTTAAATATTTCCTCCTTCTAGCTGGCACAGTTCCGCAGCCTTCTATCGAATGCCGAAGGTGAAAATGCTGTCCCCATACAGCACAACAACCGACCGCCCCAGCCTCTGAAGGGCAGGACAGTGAAAGCTTCATTCTCATGAGCCCAAGAAGGAACTCACCTTCAAGAACACAGCCCTGCTTCTAACATAATCCAGTAAAATACTAATTTTTAAGAAACATTGATTTCAATGCTACCAAGATAACATACCTGCAAATTTAATCTGTAGAATGAAGAACTTTAATTTTAGTTATTAATGCTTATACTCAAATAATAATCTGTAAGCTTGCAAATAGTAATCGGTAAGCATAAATTTATGCTTACATTTAACTTTATTTGTAGAATTCTTCTTAGTTACAAACTGCTGAGTGATTGGTGTCTTTTCCTATTGTAGAACTAAAAAACTGCAATTTTGGTTCTTAATGCTTATGCTCAAATAATAAATAATCTGCTTGCAAATAGTAATCTGTAAGCATCAGTTTATCCTTAAGTTCAAGTGGAATTCTTCATAATTACAAACAACGAAGGGATTTATATCTCTTCCTATTTTGTTCAGTTTACTTGGATCAATACAATAATTGTATTCCTTTCTTTGTTGTCAATTGTGCACTTTATTTTAAAAAGTAAGTTTCTACGCCATTTACATTCAAAAATCTTAAATATCTTACTTGCAAGAGAATTTTGTAATATACTGACCTAAGATCAACTTGAGATGAAGTATTGAGAAATTCATTTGCTTATTCTTGAAGGCAAACATACAGCTAAGATGACAGTCAGATAATAATATTATTATGCTGGCCCGAGATTTCTACTGTTTGTGTTCTCTCTGATAAAAATGACATCTTTTGGCTGGACACTGTGGCTCCCACCTGTAATCCTAACACTCTGGGAGGCCAAGGTGGGTAGATTGCCTGAGTTGACAGGTTTGAGACCAGCCTGAGCAAGACCAAGACCTCAGTCTCTAAAAATAGCTGGGCGTTGTGGCGTGTGCCTGTAGTCCCAGCTACTAGGGAGGCTGAAGCAAGAGGATGGCTTGAGCCCAAGAGTTTGAAGTTGCTGTGAACTATGAGACACAGAAATTTCTTTATTCCTCTGAGGAAGACATAAAAAAAGATGTGTTTATTTTACACCTAATAACCATACTAAGGAACTTCTTTTGAAGTATTTGATTTGGGGGCCAGAATTTAAGTAAATCTTTATTAAAATGTAATGCAGGAGAGCTGGAGGAGGCACTGGGACATGGGTTTCTTTTCTACATGAAGTTAGAAAAGTAAAAAAAAAAAAAAAATTGCTTTAAAAAATGCAATAGGCCCAAATAGCACATTAGTTCTGCTTCCATAAGCATTCTATAAATACTTTCTTTGCCAGGGTAAACTGACAATGTATTGTACTTTGTATTTGCAAAATACTGAAAATGCTAAAACAGTTACACCTTTCCTATGATCCTATTATTTCAATGAGTCATACTGACAGTATTTTAATTCTAAAGTTATCAAAGGTCATCCTTGTGACAGCGGGAGAAAGAGGGATTTGGGTTTAATTTGAGAATGCTTCTGGAAAAAGTGCTTGGGACCTCTAATACTTTAAAAAAAATTCTGAAAAGAAATTAAGCCACTTAGAAATAAATTTCACAGGAACGACCTGAAAAATAATTGACCTAAAGACCTAAGTATTTTTTAAACAGGTTAAAATGGACGCCAGGATTCATATTTAAGTCTGTAACTCTTATGAAAGGGCAACGATATAACAGGAAATACAGTTTGGTCATTAATGGTTATCAAACTTTATCCGTCAGTCAAACGCCAAGTGGGAGCATGTTCCCCCTCACTCCCTCTGGCAGAGTTGGCAGGACTCCTGAGGTGCGTTACAAATTTCTTGGAGGCAGCTGATAAAAGCAGCTGTTGAGAGAAAATGTGTGGACTGGGCAGTGGATCATCTGGGAATTCAACTCTCACCTTCCACTGACTCGCCTCCTGCTGTATGCCCACTGCTCTCGCCAGCGTGGGGAGAGGACTTGAATATTCTGCAAGGGGTCTCTGGTTTTTTCATGATGTTTGACAGCTTATCTATTTTATCCCAAATCTATTGGGCATCTAAGTGCCCAGAACGACAATGCCAATTGAAGGGGCCCGGGTAGGGTCAAGAGTGGAGGGTGTTTCTACAATCTGCTGTCCTCTGCCTTCGCACCCGCCACTCAGAAATGCCATTCTGAGCACTTATGGTGGCCATCTCCTGATTTTATGAGTCCAGGTAGCTCAAAACACTTTCTACATTGTGAATTTCTGTAAGTTTTAGCAAAACAACTCTACAAGCATTAAATTCATCATAGAGGGAATTAGGATAAAGGAAAGAAATGAAAAAAAATCTTTAAATTTCCTTATACGACTCAAAAAAAGCATATGTCTATTTATTATTCTATAACTCTGCGAACTCCACATCTGTGCTTCTTTGCCATTATGTGGTCACAGATATCTACAAATATTTAATTGAAGCTATGAAACTTCTCCCCCTCCTCCAAATTTACAAAATCAGATACAGACAGTATTTTGCATTGAGTTTTAGAGTGTTTAGACACTCGGCCTTCGCTTTCCTTCCTTCTCTATCACAAAATCATTCCTGGACCTCAGGGAAAGACCCTTGCTCTCGACTGCAAAAAGTGGGCTACAATGAACCCCATGTCTCTCTTGAGCTAACATCATTTTTGCTTTTGTCCTTCATCCTTTATAGTAAGTGCCTGGGGAGGGAATGTCTATGTATTTCTGGTATAGTTCATATGCTATCTTCTTGTTATTTTTCCCCTTTCCAGAGATTATTTTGCATTGATATAAGTTTGTGCTGTAGAAGAGAGATAAAAAGCTTTTAAAAAGAAAGAGAATTCAAACCTTAGTGAATTGTATATTAGTAGGAACATTAATAAAGGATTATACATGAAAGTAAAAGGGGCATACAAAAATTTCGATTGGGGAAAATATCATCAGATTAATAATGGGCTAAAATCACTTCGAAGGCCATCAGCATTCTCTGTATCCAAGATCACGAGAGCATAAGGAAATACTTATTTTACAAACATTATCATCATGATTATCTTTAAGCCCCGAACGTTTATTTACACCCTGTTCCTGTGAGACACTGCATGGAGATTTCCTTATCTCTCTTATTAGATTTGGTTATTTTAACTCTCAGTAGATTAACAAAAATTGGTAGACAGTCATAGGTACTGCACAAATGAATAAGTAACTTCATTTATTCCAGACTGCTCCATTTTGGAAAAACAAAAACAAATAATGGCTATGGTATTTCACCTATTACAAAAAGATAGCTGATTTGTGTTTATGCACTTAGGGAAAACTTGCATAAATAAAATATTTTAATAGAAACATAACATGCTTGAAAGAAATGAGAAGTGGCCATACATGTTTTTATTTACAAATCTTGCTTTTAGTAGAGCAACTTAGGATCCTAAACATGTGTGCATACTCTCATCTTGTACCAAAAGAGTGAATTGGTCAACAAAGGAGTCTCATTTGAAGATGTTAAAATATTCAGATCACAAGTGTACTTACTAGAGATTTCTCAATGAAATCCAGCATGCTAATCACCTTACTCTGAGAAGGCAGAAATAGCCATTATGGCAGAAAGGAATCCAGTTTAAGTGGCTATAGTTCTCCTCTCAAAGACTACAGAGGATATCTTTACCAAGTCATCAATATATATTTTAATCCCCTTTAGAGGCAGATGTATATTAAGCTATTATAGATATATCATTTTCTGTTTTAGATGATTTAAATTGGCCACAGGAATAAATACATGAAACAGAATCACACTGTGCTAGAATAATGTTTAGCTGCTTTAAAAAATAGATACAGCCTCATCTCATCCGTATTCCACAATAAAGCCAAGATGGTTTAAATTTCCAATGAAATCATCAATATATTAGAAAATAGGCAAATATTTGAATAACATCTAGTTGAAGAGAACCTTACCCAAAACCACCAAAGGAAAAAACCAGGAAAAAACAAAATAATTAATTGAAACATGAAAAATTTAAATATATAGATAAAAGCAACACCAAAAAAAATTAATGAGCTGGGGTAATTTTTTCAATATAAGTGGCACACACAAAGAACCATGTTCTCACTATATAAGAAGCTTTCACAAACTATGAACATAAAATTTGAATTTCCAAGAGAAAATAGCAAGAAAATATAAAGAGAAGGTTCAGTAAGGAAGAAATCCAAATAAGTAATAAGTCCCTTTTTAAGTAATCGAGGAAGCACAGATCAATACAATGTTTCATCATTCTGTGCCCATAAAATTAGCGAAGATGTTTCAGATAGCATACGACACTGTCAATGATGCAAAGAAGTGACAATGGTTATACCTTGCCAGGAAAGGTGTTAATCGGTACAGTCTGTTCGTTAGCAATGTGAAAGTTGTGTTCCAGAAGAAATCTTCACAAAAATCATAAAGTAAAAAAACTATAGGTTCACTGTAAGGAGAATTAGAGGTAGAATTTTATAACAAGGTCAGCTTATTCATTACCGTGGCTGCAAAGGCTAAACCTCTATTTGTGCTAAATTTATATTTTCATTCAAGATCAAGCTTCAAATGCCTATATCTAATGTCTATTGGATATCTCCACTTAGGTTTCAAGAACTTCCAAAACTATTAAAAACACAAATTGTGGGGCAGCACCTGTGGCTCAAAGGAGTAAGGTGCCAGCCCCATATGCCAGAGGTAGCGGGTTCAAACCCAGCCTTTGCCAAAAAACTGCAAACCCTCCCCCCCCCCAAAAAACCCACAAATTGTGATGCCCTCCCAAAGCTGGTTCCTGCCAGCCCCAGGATGCACAGAGATGGTGGGGGTGGGGGGCATTGTAGTTCTGGGGATGTTGACAGGATGGAAACTGATCAAACATGACCCTGACTAACTGATGCCACTACTGACCCTGAAGTGACTCTTTTCTTCAGATTTGCCAAACATAACTTTTTCCTTATCACTCTATTCCTTTTTCTTTGGTTATCAAGAGCAAAATGTTCTCAGACTAGACTTCCAGTAATAACAAGTTCCTTTATCTCATTTTCCTTTACAGAAATGATGATACATGCCACCAGGAGAGATAGATGTGTTTGTGGTCCCAGTTCCATATTCCTAGGGAAAGGGTCCCAGCTGGCTTGGATGGAGCCCAGCCCTCATCCTATCTGCTGTGATGGGGCATTACGTGGAAATCTTCTTACATTCACTGGTTTCCAGGAGCACAGGCTATAGGCTCCAGGGGCAGGTGCAGCTTAGAAAGTCATTGTGAGGCAAATGGAAACTTCAACAGGTGTTAACACTTGAAGATAAGAGTAATAACTCTTACTTCCTCAGTGTGGTCTCCCCTAACCTGAGGTGTCAGGCCCCTCATTATCTGTTCTCATT